TATATCTAAATTGTGTACTCATTTTGACTTTATCTTGGTACAGGGTGTAAGATGTTGGTCTATGCCCAGTTTCTGCCATACATTTTCCCAGTTTTCCCAGCAGTTTTTGCTAAATACTGATTTCTTATTCCAGAAGCTGGGGTCTTTGGATTTATCAAATAGTAGAGTATTATAGTCATTGACTGTTGTGTCCTGCATACCTGACCTATTCCACTGATCTACCACTCTATTTCTTAGCCAGTACCAAGTAGTTTTAATGATTGCTGTTTTATAATACAATTTAAGATCTGGCACAGCTAGGCCACCTTCCCTGGCATTGCTTTTCATTAGTTCCCTCGATATTCTGGACTTTTTGTTCTTCCAGATAAATTTTGTTATTGTTTTTTCTAGCTCTGTAAAATAACTTTTTGGTAGTTTGATGGGTATGGCACTGAATAAGTAAATTAATTTAGGTAGAATTGTCATTTTTATTATATCAGCTCGGCCAACCCATGAGCAACTGATATTTTTTCCAATTATTTAGATCTGACTTTATTTGTGTGAAAAGTGTTTTATAACTGTGTTCATACAGTTCCTGGCTTTGTTTTGGCAGGTACACTCCCAAATATTTTATAATGTCTATAATAACTTTAAATGGAATTTCTCTATCTCTTGCTGCTGGGCTTTGTCAATAATATATAGAAATGCCGATTGGGTTGGACATATGACAGCTGAAAAACTTTCCGAATTTAGAATTGTAAGATTCTGTGACTGAAGATATACAATGGAAAGCTGATTAAGAACAGGTGGGGCCCTGAGGCAAAAGACACAAAGTCTCTCTTCCAACATGTTGATTGGATTACAATAAATTGTGTTTATGGGGTGGGGTGTAGGGTTGAGAGTCAATGACTACCCATTTCTCAGAGTGATAATCCTGTGCACCAAAACAATTTAGCCACCAGCCCCAGTGCTGGGTTGTAGTAAGAAAGGCAGCATTGAGGCATCTAAAGACTGTCATTGAGCTGGGTTCTGAACAGGGGTTTATTAAGTATGAAGTAAGTGGAAAGAAAGGCACCAATAAGGAGAGCTATGGGTTCTCAACTCTTAGCTGAAGAAAATGTTGTTATTTCCTCATGGGAGAGCCATATGGTAGATGAAACTGAAGGATACTACACTAAAGTCATGACCCTGTCTAGCAGCTGCTTCCTCTGGCCATTATTCACCATTTCTACCTTTTAGAGTAGATTTTTTTTTCATCCTTTCCACACTCTTTCCCCACTCCTGACTCAAATCTTCTTTGAGGTGGGGTCCCTAACCATACTCTAAGGCCCTTAATCTGAAGTGGACTATTGGGGAGAGTTTAAGCAGGTAGAGCAGGAAGGTACTTGATCTTAAGCTAAAGTGACAAGAAGGGAGAATGAAAGGCTGTCAGGCAGAGAAATTCAAAGGCATTCTAAATAGAGCTTTGACTCTACTCAAACTTGGGGATCTTGGGGACAACTGTTTCTTTTACCCTTGTATTAATCTGTCTAACCTGCAGAATGATTTCTAAAGAAGTGACAGTTGAAGCCTTAAGATTAAAATGAACTTTTCAAGGAAGAAAGTTAAAAAAAAAGTCAAAAAGTAGACGAAGACTAACCTTTGGAAGAACATTCACTGTTAGGAAGTTTTAGGAGGAAGATACAGAGGAGTGGTTGGGGAGGCAGAACCAGTACTGTTTATTTCAGAAGTCAATCTTAATAGCTTTTTTTTTTTAGAGTATTGAACAGAATTAAATACCTAAACAAGGATTAAAGCAAATGGACCAAAATATTTACTGACAGAAAAGTTAAAACAGCTAAAAAGGTTTGAGAATCCTCTGCGGATGGTCTATGTGGATTTGTCTTCATCTTTTTTTAGGGAAGAAGCAGGTATGCCTGACACTTTATTAAGTGTGATGATACCTCAAGTCCTGCTCTGATTTGTAACTGTGATAGAGCAACCTTTGATTCTCAAAGGCTATACTGATAGAACACAAGTTCTTCCAGGTCCTGCCAAGTTGAAAGGCTACAAATAGGGTCCTTGTGATGGACCATGAAAATTCTTTGCAGAGAGATGGCATCAGAATTTTAGTTTCCAGGTGGGAAGCTAATTTTTTTTTAACTATAGGAACTCATTAAGACAGCCTCTTCAAGTGTGGAAGGGCTATGATGTTTTCTGTGTTTGAGTGGTAACCCATACCAATAAAATCATGGACCTTTTGAATTACAATACAGACAAGGGGCTGCCTGTTACATCTAGGATCAAACTCTCTCTGGAATTTAAAGTTGTCTTTATAGCCTGCTTTTCTTACATTTTCAGTCTTCTTACATCTAATTCCCTTCCACACATTTTATAGTCCAATCATAGTGAACTTATTATCTCTCATACGACACTATCTCAGCTGTTTCTGTGTCTTTGTTTTCTTAGAATGTTCTTACTTCTTACTTTTACCTCTTAGAATCCCTGGCTTTCTCCAAGACTAAGATCAAAAATACCTTTTTTGTGAGAGGCCTCTCCTGGTGTCTACTACTTTCCCCTCCAAGACCACCTTTTATCTGTTCTGTATGCATTGTGCACTGCACTCTGGGATACTTCCCCAACCTGGTTCTCAGGACTCAAGCATAGAGTCCAAGAGGGTGGCTGCTACCTGGGGTTTCAGGGGCAACCCTGTGGCTGGCTACTCCAAAAGCTACAACTCATGAACCGACAATGTACTTCCTCTGACAGTTAGGCAACAGACTCAACTAACATAGGCTGGACATTTACTAAGATGAATAATTAAAAACCATAGCTACAAAACATTTCATTCCTCAATAAATCTAGAGAGAACACAAGTATCTATGTAAAGAGGAGGTTCAAACTTAAGAGTAGTTTCATAGTGAGGCACCATGTGTGGCAAAGGAAGGCAGGGAGGGAAAGGGAGAAGGAGGGGAGAAAGATAAAAAAAGAGAGAAAGAGAGAAAGAGAGAGACAGACAGACAGAGAGACAGAGAAGGAGAGGACATTTCCTCCTTTTTTCTTCTATTTTCTCCTTTCTCTTCTCCTCTTCCTCTCTCTCCCACAACCCCCCCCAAATGTTCCAAGTCTTTACTATTTAAAACTGCTAGGCCCAGGAGCTAATTATCATGGCTAATTTTTTCTGCTTAGCCAATTACCTTTGCTTCATTTAATTGTTAGAGAAAGGTGTCTATACCTTTCTGAGACCTGTTACCTCCTTTCCTCTTTTATCTGTTTTAGTTTTTTGGTGACATAAACTTAACCCCTAAAAAATGTTTAAAGAAACATAAGTAATAATAATATCCAGAAGAAAAAAAATTATGGTACAAGAATAATTTATATCAATGTGAACAGTCAAGATTCCAAAGAATTACAATTTCAAGATGGTTAAAGTCCCTTTATTTTATAGATAACTTTTTGAAAGATTTATTAGAAGTGTTTATTGAATAATTTATCAGAAACTGGCTGGATAGAGATTGAGATCAACAGGTTCATTGGTACTAAGTTGTCAGGAAATGTATTCTATTCCAGCAAAAGCTGAGAACAATAAAATTAAAAAGGAAATGGAAAAAAAACTACATTGTACCTCTTCAAGGAAAAATTAAATTATTGTTTCCACTGTTTGATCAAAATTTAAAGTACTGTTTGTGGTGAGTGTTTTGTTAAAAGACAATCATGAAAATTTATAATGGAGAAATGCAATTTATTTGTCAGTTTATTTTTGAATTATTTTTTAATTGTTAGAATTATGTTTTTATCTTTGCTTTAAAGCCAGGGGAGCAGGTTTATAGGGATTAAAAGCCAGTTGCAGCAAGTTTGAGACAAGAAGGGGACTAGGATGGTGAAAGAACTATCATGTCATTACAAGGATTAGTTGAAAGAAGTGGGGGAATTGAAGAATAAAAGACTTGAGGGTAAGAAGTAGCATATAGAACAGCAGTCTTTAAATATATAAAAGATTGTAACATGGAAGAGAAATTAGAATTGTTCTGCTTGGTCCCAGAAAATAGAACTTTGACCAACAAGTAGAAGTAGCTGGGAAATGGATTTCATCTTAATAGAAAGAACTTCCTGACAATTAGGAATGTTCCAAAGAAACAGGCCCCCCTCATTGAGGTTTGGAGGTAGGGAGAGGGACAGAGCTTCGAGTTCTTTGTCACCAGAAGGTTTCTAGCAGAGGATAAACTTGGGGATTTGGTATATGGGATTTTTGATTTGGCTAAAGGGAGAATTTTTGAGGTATTTTTATAGAATTATAAATGTGTGATTTTGAAATGTTTTGAAATTGTGTAACATTTTATGTCCCCATGTAATTTTGATAACTGAAACCAAACTAAGCAGCTTTCCATAAGTCACTTGACCTTTGCATGTCTTATTTTTTCAACAATGAATGAAAATATTTGCCAAGACTTTACTTCTTGGGATATTAAGGGATGCATTCTCAAAATTAACTAAAACAAAAGCCTTTGGATCTTAATTAATTTGTATACATAAAACTCCTGGAAACAAGGGCAAAGATTAACAGAAAGCGCTATGAAAATATGTTTGTAAGGCACATGTAAGAAACCTAAAAGACTTTTTATGGAGAACTCACACAGGACAAGCACTCACGTGGTAGTCAGAAAAAGCAATACAAGGACATTCTCAAGGTCTCTCTTAAGAACTTTAGAACGGTGTGACATGGGAGATACTGGCACAGGACCAATCAGCATGGTGTGCCCTCATCAGAGAAGGTGCTGTGCTCTATAAGCAGGGCAGAATTGAAGTAACTCAAAAGAAACTCTAGATGCACAAATTTAGAGAAACCACCCCAAATGTTTACAGGGATTATTTGTGGCTGACCTGTGGCAGAACATTCCAAGCTCATACTGGTCTGATCAGCCACAGTCAGACACAGTGTAACTTACCTCTAACATACTGATGTCATTTTGGTCCTCTTCCAGAAGGAAGGACAACAACCAACCAACCAAACTCTGTGAACTTCAGCAAGTCATTTCATTTACCTGGGCCTTAGTTTATCTGTAAAATGGACCAGATGATCTTCAATGCCCCTTGCAATCCTTTGATCTGAAATATCAATTCACTTGATTCTCTGCTCTTTTTCTCTTCTATTCTAGGAAGATTCTTGGGATATGGGAAGATACTTATGTGATCACTGTGTGAAAAATGAAATTGATTAAATTAGCATCCCTTTGGTGGGCTGACAGGTAGGGCCTCAAACAAGCTATTCTCCTTTCCCCTAAAAAATTATAGGCAGTTTGGCACAGTGGAATGGGATAAACTAGGAATCAGGAGCCCTGGGCCCAAGTCCCAGTTCCAACACTTGTTAGCTATATGACAATGGGGAAATTACTTCATCTCTCTGGATCTGTTTCTCAGTCTTAAACCAGTGTCCTATTAAACTGACATACCATTACCAGATTGCCTGGGAGTGGGGGAAGGCCCCCAACCCCGACTAGTGAAGTATTTACTCATCTATCCAGATTTTCTGACTAGACCCCTTGTGACCTATTAACAGCATGACAGCCTGCATTTGTGAGTCAGTCCGCCAAGAGGTATCTCATGACCATGGAGCAGAGTGAAACTACGCAACCCACTCCAGCTAAATACATTATTTTTGCTACATTAGCAGAGTCTCCCTAAACAGATAACCCAAAGTAGAATATAAACTAAGAAGATAAGCTCTTTTACTTTAAGCTATAATAGGATCACCACTGCTGGAAGCATAATGGATCTGGAATGAGAAGTCATGCATTCAACTCTTAGCTCTAGGAATCGACCCATGTGCATTTCTCAATGCCTTAAACAATGAGAGGAAATGCTTAATTTCAGTTAAAAGTTAGATTAAATAAAGACGTAATTTTTCCCCACTCAAAGACTCAGCTTAAGGGGTACATTGGAACCTAAATTAGAACCCCAGTTCTAATCTCTTCCTGCCAACATCAGCCAGATCATTTCCCTTTATAAGTTTTGGGCTCACTCTCAATGCTGGCAAAAGCTGGAAGCCTTCATTCCAAACTTTGTTATTATTGTTCAGTCAAGTCCTGACTCTTCTTGACTCCATTTGGGTTTTCTTGCCAAAGATAATGGAGTAGTTTGGCATTCCTTCTCCAGCTCATTTTAGGGTTGAAGAAACTGAGGCAAACAGGGTTAAGTAACTTGCCCTGGGTCATACAGCTGGTATGTCTGAGGCTGAATTTGATCTCGGGTTCCTGACTCTAGGTCAGGCACTCTGTCCACCTCGATGCCCAATCATTCGGAACTAGTTCGATGGTTTTATGCAAGTTGCTTAATCACTTCCACTTATTCAGGATTAAAATGGTGTCAGGGCTAAAGGGGTGGGGTCATTCATTCGGTGACAGGCTTCATCTTTATACCTAATTCTTCCTTCCTAGCTTTTACCCTTCGGGGTCTTCAGCTCTTGAGCCTTACTCCCAACCTAAAGAATCACTACCACCTCACCTTCCAACACCAGTCCAGAAAGAGGCTTGGCTTCCGCAAGCCCTTGCGCCTGCGCGGAAGCAGCGGGTGACGCTAGCGTGTCGTCAGTGGGTGGGTGTCCAGGAGGGGGCGGGGGCCAGAGCCAGAGCTCCGCGGCCATCACTGCTAGTCCCCGCCCCCTCCTCAGCTCCGCTCAGCTCCACCTCCCCCCGCCCCCCTCCCGGGCTCCCGAGGAGAGACGCGACTGGGAACCCTTTCCCCGTGGGAGCCCAGGAGGCTTTAGCGAGCCCTGGATTCCACTCTCCCCTGTCGGGAGAGATGACGAGTGCGCGGGCTCAGTGAGCCCCCTCAGCGGACCTCGGCCGCAGCGGACTGAGCTGTAGCGGCGGAGGGGGGGCGCGGCCCGGCCCGGCCGGGGCCGCTCATGGTGTCGCCACGACGCCATCGCGGCGTAGGACGGCCAGGTAGGGAGGGGGAGGGGGCGAGGGAGGCAGGTGGGGGCGACCACGGTGGTCGGGCAGGCGGGGAGAGGGTCGGCGCCCCTGACAGCTTCCGTCCCTGCGCCTCCCCTCTCCTCGCTCCTTCCCTGGCCCTACGCGGGTCGTTGCCTTCGCTTCTCTTTAAAATAAAAAAAAAAATCAGACCCCCCCCCAACACGTTAGCTCGCCCCCTGCCCCCGTTTTCGGGAGGTAAATGGAGTTTGCTGAGTGACCCCGGGAAGGGGCCGGCGTCCGCAGCCAGGGATGGGGCGTGGGAAGTGCGGTGGGGCGCGTCCCCCGGGGCCGCCACCGCCTGGGCACCTCCAGCTGTTTCCTCCGCGCTTCCCTTCCTGCGAGAATGGCCGAAGTCGGGGCACGGTTTGGGGGGGTTTGGTAACGGGGCTGTCCGGGCCGGGCAAAACCCGAAACGCCCCACCACGGGGCTGGGGGAGGGGTCTTCTGACCTTGGGCTCAGTCCGTATTTTTAGCAGTGTGAGGTGGGGTCTCCGGATCCACGCGTTCGAAAGTAGATTCAGATGTGGGGGTGGGGGAGAAAACAACAGCTAGGATCTATAGAGGTCTTTTAGGTAGGCAACCCACTTTACAAATATCTTATTTGGTGCTTAAGAGGAACCCTAGAAAGTAGGTGCTATCATGATCCTCGTTTTACGTATTAGGAAACCTAGGCAGACGGACGTCAAGTGACTTGCCCATTTCGCAGTGTCTGAGGCTGTATTTGAACTTGAGTTTTCCTGAGTCCAGGCTCAGCCATCTGCTTAGGTGATTGAAACCCTGATTATAAAAGCTAGCATTTACACACTGTCCCCAAAGTGCAGTTTTAAGATTTTAATAGACTTTTGGAACAACCTGTAGAGCCCTTTCAAGGTTTGCAAAGCAATTTACAAATGTTGGTCCTAGGAAGGCAGCGCTGGAGTCGGGAAGACCTGAGTTCACATTGGCCTCAGTCATTAGTAGTGTGATCCTGGGCAAGTCTCTTAACCTTTGTTTGCCTTAATCTGCTGCAGAAAGAAGTGGCAAACCACTCCAGTATCTTTGCCAGGAAAACCCCATGCAGGGTCAAAAGAGTACAACACAAGGTACAAAGACAATTACAAATATCTCATTTGGTTCCTTACAACCATCTTGGGAGGTAGGTGCTATTATTATCCTCATTTTACAATTGAGGAAACAGGCAGAAGTTTAAGTGAGTTTCCAAGAGTCACATAGCTATTAACTACCTTCTGTCCTGAGACAGAATTTGAACTCGGGCATATGCTCTAAATTGTAGTTCATTCTGCCAATAGTTGTAGGTGCTATTATTATTCCCATCTTACAGGTTAAACAACTGAAGTTGAAGAGATTTAGCTACTTGCCCAGGGTCATAAGTATCTGAGGTGTGATACACTGCCAATTCTAGGATATGGGCCCTATGTCTCATCTCCTCATCTACTTGTCTTCCTTCGAATCTCAGCTAAATCCCTCCTATAGGAAACCTTTTCTGATCACCCTTTAATGCTAGAGCCCCGTATTTTTGTTGATTGTCTCCAGTTTTTACTGCATATATTTTGTTTGTACATAGTTGTTTGCATGCTTTTCCCCATTAGACTGAGCTCCTTGAAAATAAAGACTTGTTTGTTTGGGGAAGTTTTTGAGGAGTTTCTTTGGGGAAGCCTTTGCATCCCCTGTTTTGAGCACAGTGCCTAGCACATAGTAGGCATTTAATAAATGCCTGTTGACAGATTTAGGGACTATGTGTAGCCTCAGAGAAGATGTATTCTAAGGTATTGACCATATCGTTATTCAACTAGTTTATATAAATTAATGCAATAGATGTTTATTAAAATCTCCTGTGTGCAGTTTGACAATGTTTTATGTGAATTACTTGATTTATGACCACTATCTTTAAAGTTTATAAAAGGGGAGTTAGATAAGTTCCGTGTACTTATATCCTCAGTCTAGCACAGTGCCTGACAAATAGTGATGTATAAATAAATACTTGTTGATTGATCTTTTTTTATTTATTCTTGGAATCCTCTCAAATAGGCATATTTGAAGAAGATGAGAAGTATAGAACTTTTATTTTTTGTGTAGGCAGTTTTTAATAGCACCAGCTTCAGTGATCTTGGAAGCTAAATTTTTAAAGTGTTATACTTTAGTGTGTCTTAAGTTTTCACTTTTTAAGCCTCAGCTTTTGTTTTTGTTGTTTTTAGGTGATTTGAATTCTTCAGCCTGTAATATTCTCAGCTGTGCAAAGCTTTCAAGCTTTTCTCTTCAAGACCTGAAAAAGGCCTTTAAAGGGAGGTCAGTACAAGCCCTTTTATTTGCTTTATGATTATGAAATAATTTGCATTTATATTAGGTAACAAATATAAAATATTTCTGTTCTGCTGAATTGCTTACTTTTATGTGGTTATTTCCCACATATGTCTTTTAATATGGTCTGTATTTATTTTAATAGACTGCAAATGGTGTGGGTATTTATCATGAACCGAATGAATTCCCAGAGCAGTGCTTTTACTCAGCGGAGGCGAATGGCTCTTGGAATTGTTATTCTCCTACTTGTGGATGTTATATGGGTTGCTTCATCAGAACTTACTTCAGTAAGTAATTTAAACTTTTCAAAGAATAATTTTATTTTAAGCAAACTTCATGTATCTAATAGAAGAGCACACTTATAAAAGGACTAGGTAGTCTTATAGCTGTTGTGGAATTTTTTCATTTTTCTCTTGATGTGGTGTTAATTTTTAGCCCAACTTTAAACTGAAAGCTTGATTTCACCTGATTTCCTTGCATTCAGTTAGGGGAGGTAATATGAATGAGTCTTATTTTAGGCTAGAAATATGATAATATAGATTTTCCAAATAAATATTTGAAGATATTTCTTTATGTTGGTAAGTATATCTGAGTGTGTTTTTGATGCAGAGAAGCTTTTTCCAATGAATAGAAGTTGAATTTTAAAAAAAAAAGATACCTAAACAAAATAATACTGAGTTATAACTTTGAAAATATATCCCTTAATATATCTCCCCTCCAATTTTCTTAATAAGTGTTTGTTGATGGTGATGTTGAAAAGAACATGAAATGCTGTGCATTATGTAATTAATTGCTTGCTTTCTAGTAAAAGTTTATGCATTTCACTAGGTAATGAGCTCATTAAGAACTCTGGAGTCTTATTTTTCTCTCCTAGTGTCATTATTATTTGAACTTACTTGGTATTTAATAGCACTTTCTATGAAGATGACAGTTTTTTTTTCTTTAGAAATAACTAGATCTTAATGTAGTCAAGTTTTGACCTTGTATATGCTTGTATATGTAACAAGTATCATTTGTTTAAAAAGCAAAACATAGTATCACACTTACAATATGATAGTTGTTTAATAAGTTTGTTAGTTGGCTTCATCCAAGCCTTCCTAGATCTTGGTTAAAATACTTTAAAAAATGCTTTTTGGGGAGTGGGGATGGGGAATGTGATTTTTTTTCCCCAGAATAAGTAGTTTTCAGTGGTGAAGCTGATAACTTTTATGACTTAATGCTTGTAACACAGCATGAGTTTTGGACCAGAATTCAGGAAAATAAGCAGTTGTTTAAAGGTAGTAAGGACATGAACCTTAGATAATGTATTTTATTAATTTTTATATCAGTTAAGTATTAAACTTTAGTAGAAAAAGAAATTTCATTCAGCCTTAGTTAGAACTTAGGCTCCCCTGATATAGATAGAGAACACTTAATTTTACTTATTTTCTCAATATGGAGCCAAGTAAGAATAATAGTTTTATGTTGTTAAAGCTGTCACATGTAACTAAAGAGCCTTCCTAGATTCTTTCTTTTCCTTTGTCCCCTCTGTCTAGTTAATTGCCAATTCCTGTTGATTTCACTTCCATAACATCTCTTGTGCTCATCTCCTTCTCTCCACTCAAGCAGCTGCCTCCCTGGTTCAGGCTTCCCTCTCCTCTGGATTATTGTGAAAGTCACTTTGATTCTGGTCTTTCTATACTCCAATCCATCTTTCACACAGTTACTAAAACAGTTTTTCTAAGCCATAGATCTTACTATGCCACTTCTCTGTTCAAAAATCTTAGGTGACCCCCTTATTTATATAAACTCTATAGCCTGCCATTTAAAGTCTGTTTTCCAGTCCAGTTGTACTAGATACCATTTCCTAAATTTGACATTGTCATTTCCTACCTTTGCATTTTCACACAAGCTATCACCCATGCCTAACATTGACTTGTTCCTCAGCTTCATCTTTCTGAATCCTTTAAAGCTCAGCTCAGGTACTTCTTCCTTGATGAAGCTTTCCCAGGACACTCAGTTGCTAGGCTTTTTCTCCTTCATTACTCTGTATTTATTTACATGTATACACTATGTACATTTATTCTTCAAAGAAGAATAAAAGGCCCTTGAGGATACAGACTTGAATTTTTGTCTTTGTTTCACTGATGGGTAGCTCAGTACTTTGAACTTATTTGCTTAGTAAGTATTTAACTGAAATGGGTTAAATTAATATGAAAGAAATCCTTTAATATATTTAACATATAATGTATACATTCTTATGTATTTTGATTTTTGTTTTTGTGCTCCCAGGTAGATTTTTTTTAATACACATTGACATATTGCTTCTTAGTCTGAATTGTCATCCACAAAGAGCTTTCAAACTTAGTGATATTTGCATTTTAAAGTTTTATTGGCTTATAGCATTTTTGAAGTTAGGGTATTTACTCCTTAGTTGTGTGCATGTGAGTGTTCCCTTTGTTGTAGAGGTATATGGTTAAAATTTATCTCTTATTGCAACATAAGATTTGCAGCAATAAGTGTTTTGACAAATTATTTCCATGATTTTTTTTATTGTTCTCTTCATCTGACCTTTAAATTTTTAAGTTAAAAAAATTATAACTTTGTCTTAGTAAAGATTAATAGTAAGATTCAATGATTTCATAATAGTCTATTTAACTTTTTTCCCCCACAGTATGTTTTTACTCAATATAATAAACCATTCTTCAGCACCTTTGCAAAAACATCAATGTTTGTTTTATACCTCTTGGGCTTTATTATTTGGAAGCCATGGAGGCAACAGTGCACGCGAGGATTTCGTGGAAGACATGCTGCTTTTGTAAGTTTCATAATTTCTGTGTTTGGCGGGGAGATAGAGTATACATTTTATCAGAGTTTAGAGATGTTTAAATTTTTGTAAGGCAGCCACATCTTAATTGCCAATGGCATTAGGTGTGTAGAGGTATCATAGAAGTAAGAAAACCCCAACAAAACCAAGTCCTGATTATAGCCAGTAGTTTTAATAATGTTAAACTATTAATTAAATGTTAATAATGAACAAAATAGACATATTTGAGTTTTATCTCTTCTCCTTTTCCTATATTTTTGAGAGTTGTTAAAGTCTAGTGAAATAACAAAAAAAAAACAGTAGAGAGAATGAAAAAAAGGAAGCAGAGAAGCAACCAATAGCTTGAGGAATTAGTAGACTAACTAGTTGGAAGTTGACTGTGTAGCCAGGTATGGTGGCACATACTCACCTTGAATCTTTGATACCTGCAAGACTGTGGGTGGCAAATCTTTTGAGCTCCAAAGTTCTGAACTTCAGTGGGCTATGTCTATTGGGTGTCTGCACAGTGTTCCACATTTAATTGTGAGCCCACAGAAGTGGGGGGGTCATTAAATTGCTTAAGGTGGGGTGACCAGCCTAGGCTGGAAATGGAACAAGTAGAAGCTGCTGTCCTTATCAGTAGGGGGATTGGGCCTTTGAGGAGCGCCCTGTATTTCTGGCCTACGCCAGATGGGCAGACCCAATCTTAAAAGAAAGAAAAGAAATTGTCTGTGTTTGCAAAATAATTCAATATTTTGTATTAGGGGAAAAAGATCATATTACAGACTGAATTTCAGATGTCCAATGAACCGGATTATCCATTTAGCATTAAAAGAGCATTATAAACTCCATCATGGCACTGAAAGAATTAGAAATTGTCATAGTAGTACACCTTCTTTATAGAATTGAAATGGGGAGAAAAGTTGACGTTGAATTAATAAGAATGAATAGTCTCAAAGCTGATCTTCAGCTTTTTTCTGCTCCTGTTTTCATTAATTTTGAATAGAATAGTTATTTCTAAGTTGTGTAATTCTCCATAAGGCGTTTTGAAAAATTAATTCCCCAATTTTGTCAGAAATAGCTTATTAATTCTCCCTGTCTTTGAGGTATAGGTTAAAGTTAATGGTGTTGATTAGAGATTAACTTGGTCCTTTTTTCTCACCTTTGGCATACTTTGCATTAACATTTGAATTTGATAAAAAAAAGTTTTGTTTTTATGAACAAGACACTGTATGTGTAGAATTTACTTGGAAGGTCTGGAACTTTAATGTCACACATGGAATGTTTTTTAATTTCCTAGGTAGCATTGAGGATATATTTTTTCCAAACATTTTTAAAAATGAAATTTTCTAGTAACTTAAATTCTAGTAGAATATAGTATTCTTTAGTTTATATAAGATAGTAGAAGGAAGAGAGGGAAATATTTTGTAATGATATTATTGTTCATTCCAAGTGATTGTCTTAGTTCCCTGGCTGTCATAGAATGGTGAATTAAGAGTAGGCTTGCCCTCTCTGCTTGATAAATTCATGATAGATTTTGATTGTGAGTTAATTTTATGGTAATTTTCCTCTATTCAGTTTGCAGATGCTGAAGGTTACTTTGCTGCTTGTACTACAGATAATACCATGAATAGTTCTTTGGTGAGTTTTACCTGATTTGAAGAGTTTAGAGCTGTTATTAAGTAAATTGCTCTGTAACATTTTAAAATCCTATTTTGGTATTTGCTTTAATGCTAACAAAATATTAACAAGTGGGAAGATTTTTGTAAAATGGTTAATTGCTAATGAATAGAAAAATTTAAATTTAATGAATGTGAACTTGCCTAGAATTCCACTTAGCTTGTTTTATAAGATATTTGAATTATTGGTGTAAAGGCTGTAAAAAGGCTAAAGGCAATTCTGTCATATATAATAAATTGATCAAAACTGAAAGGAATCCTTAGAATGATTGTTCCCGAAAGTCATCTTTCATTTGAAGAGAATATGTGGATTATACTTCATTGTGAAATTGAAGTGAATATAGTAATGTGTAAGTTACTTGATTTTTACATAACTGGTAACCTTTAACCAGTGTGTATGTCAGTGAACTGGATGTAAGCAAAGGGAAGAGCCAAAGAAATAAAAGTTACAAAAAACATTATGTGGTCATTTGGTTTATTGACTATTATACAAGAACCACTCTTATTGATTAGCAAGCAGTGGCCATCAGTGCCATGTCATTTTGGCACCAAAACCACAAATCGTTGGAGAAATAGTAGTAAAAAGAGAAAGAAGGAAAGAGAAACAAAGAATGATAGAGGAAGGAAGTAGATGTTAGCCTTTTTCATCCTATCTCCACTCTCATTTGTCTAGGCAGAGCAGCAGATACATGGCTGAATTTGGAGTCAGGAAGATTTGAGTTTAAATCCTGCCTCAGACATTTACTAGCTTTGTGACCCTGGATAAATCACTTAACCTGTGCCGGCCTCAATTTCCTCACCTATAGAGTGGGGATAATAATAGCACTTTCCTCTCAAAAATGTTTTGAGGATCAAATAAAATAACATTGATAAAGCACTTTGTAAACCCATAATGCAATATATAAATGCCAGCTCTTTCTTTCTACTCATGAAGCCTTTGCATACCTGGATATTGCAGTACTCTCCTAGTTAGTACCCTTGTCTCTGTTTTCTGCCCTCTTCAGTCCTTCCTCAAAATAGCTGCTAAGATATATCCCTAAGATAAAGATCTGACCATGTTACTTTCTCTTACTCAAAGTTCTTCAATAAAATGTTAAACCTGGGATTGAAAGTCCTTTATAGTTCTGACTTCCATCTACCTTTCCAGCTTTGTTTCATGTTTCTTGTCTTCATATAATCAAAATGCTGGCTAGCTATTTCCTGTATATGACATTTCATACCTGCTTCCATGTCTTTGTTTTTTTTTTTTTTGGTGAGACAATCAGGGTCAAGTGACTTGCCCAGTGTCACGCAGCTAGTTAGTGTCTGAGGCTAGATTTGAACCTAGGTCCTCGTGACTCCAAGGCTGGAGCTCTATGCACTGCGCCGCCTAGCTGCCCCTTGCTTCCATGTCTTTGCACAAATGGTTCACCATGTCTAGAGTGTACTGCATCCTCACTTTTATGTTCTAGCTTCTTTCAGAGCACAGCTCAGGTATCACTTCTACAAAAAGCTTTTCTTAATCCTCTCACATTTATTAGCACTACCTTGGAATTATTTTTGTTACTTTTTATATATCTGGCATTTGTAGGGCCCATGCATCAGAAATGGGGGCTGAAGAGTGGAACCATGGAAAAGAGATAAAAGCAGGTTTTGTTTAGCCATTTCATTGACTTTGATAGCTCTCCTAAGGGCTGTGCCTTGAAATTTTTTCTCTTCAAGGTATAGGAGTTCAAAATTCAAAATAAGAGATATTTTTGTGGGACCCTGCAGAGACAAAAAGAAAGTGCACATAAGAAGTATGTTGTTGCCTTTGTAAATTAGAAGAAAAATATTTTTGTCCATCAGCCAGGAGTGACTGCTATAGAAATATCTTTGTCATCATTGTCATCATTGTCATTATTACCCATTTTTGAGCTGTCTGTTAGGGATAGGGCCCTGGAGGTCAAAGAGGTAGAGAGTCAGGCCTAGATCTTATGGGACTTAGAATAGATCAATATAGATTATCTGCATAAGGGAAGGAAGTTTTATAGTTAAGATGCTTTCTTGCTTATCTTTCATTTATTTATTTATTTACTCACTTGCTCATTTATTTATTTAGGCAGCTGGGATTAAGGGCCTTGCCCAGGGTCACACAGCTAGTAAATGTCAAGTATCTGAGGTTGGATTTGAACTCGGTTCCTCCTGAATCCAGGGCTGGTGTCTCTCCACTGTGCCACTTAGCTGCCCCTCTCATTTATGTTCTAATTAAATTCTGATTGTTTACTTTCTAAGTGGTATGGATTAATTTTTTTAAAAACAAATTCCATAAACAGAAATTCAATGTAAGAAAAAATGTCTTTCAGAATCCCAGCCAGTTGTACATAGTACCAGAATTTTATTGACCTTTTTTTTAAAATAATCATTTTTTGTAAGGAGTAACCAAAAAATTTTTTTTCTTGAGTGCCTGTGTCAGAAGCAGTATTTGAGTGCCGCCTTTTGGCAATATGCTATATAGCACATGCTCCAGGTCAGGATTTCTTAACCTTTTTTATTTCATGGACTCCTGGGAGGCTGGTGAAACCTATACATCCCTTACATCCCTTTTCAGAATAATGTGTTTAAATGCATAAAACTAAATACAAAAATTTACAAAGGAAACCAGTTATATTGAAATAAAGTTGGAATTTTTTTCCCATCTAGGTTCATTGACTTCCCAGTTTAAGAACCCTAGCTCTAGAGGATGGTCAAAGAAATAGAAGACATAGTCTGGCCCCTCAAGTAGCTTAGTCTAATTGAGGAGATAAAACATATATAAAAACACTGAAGAACTCTTACAGAACAACAGATTTATTTCAGTTACCCAAGAATGTCTTGATTATAAACCGTAGAGATCTGTTATTAGGAAGTTTTATGATATAGGATAGTTTTTAAGTTATTTCTAAACTGAAGGGGTGGAAACAATTGGGCGAAGGAGAGAGGCATCTTGTTCGAGGAAAAGCAGCCAACTGTTTAGAAAATGAGAGGCAGAAAGTGATATATCTGTAATCTATTATATATGCTACGCTAACATTTCTACCAAATTAAATTAAATTAAATTGTTGAGTCATTGGACTTACTAGCATCTATGTGACTTAGTTGCATTCTTTTACATAGCAACAGCTTTTAAAAATCCTTAAATGCAATTTATAAAAAATTATGTCTTATAAATCTTACTAATGACATCATCATAATTATACCTGTATTTAATTATTACCTACATAAATTTTATGTGATGTTTTTTGGTTTAACTGCAGTTGTTATTTTTTCCATGTCAGAGTGAACCTCTGTATGTTCCTGTGAAATTTCACGACTTGGCAAGTGAAAAACCTGAAAGTACAAATGAAAATGAAAAAAGTAAGTTAAAATTGTAATTTCTTACCTTTATCGTAAAGTATGGATAATTTATCAATGACCAAATGTGTTTTTAAATAACTGTGCAATAGAATTCATTGGTTAAATAACAATTTTATGCTGTTCTTTTCAAATATAAATTGATTTTTTGGGGTCATTTGTATGATGAGCTTACTTTAACCATATTTTATAGCAAAGATGTTTAATAAAGATTAGTAAGGATCCAGCCTTCATGTCTGATGCCATTAATATTCAAAACAAAATTTAGAAGAAGTAAAAGACTAAATTTCAGAGATCCTTTGTACAAGTGGAGGTTAGCATGGCATTCATCAAGCTTAACTGGGACACTTCAGTATCTTGTTGCATAATTCACTGTGTGTAAGTGAGTATTATATATATTGGGAGAACCACTGAGATCTGGAGAAGTTGTGACTCCTATCTAATGAGTTCTATTAGCATATCTGGAATAATTGCATTAAAGAATGCAAACAATATTCAAATCATGGAGCCTTTAGGAACTACCTCTGAAATGGAATGAATTAAAATATTTTAAAGTGCTTTTAATGAGTTGATGGAGAATTTAGTGCAAATAGGCAACAGACAGAAGGTGTAGTTCTGTTTGACATGATTGTTGGCATTCTTAATGTGTGATCTTTACTGTTTGTAAGGACCAATTTTGTTTCTGTTGAGAATGTATCTCAGAAGTAATAATGGAAGTTAATACAGAAACTGGATTTAATACGCAAAGTTTCACGTTCTACACCATGTTTAATAGTTCATTCAGGGCATAAAATGAGGTAAAGCTGTATCTTGAACATTACTTATTTCTTGAACATAAAACGTTCCCATTGCTGTCCCTTTTGGACAAAGAGCTTTAGTTAATGCTTTTTTATAAAAGTGTTTATAGCTGCATAGTCAATGAATAAACATAAATAATTTATAAATAGTGCTACATATACTATCACTTTATATTGATCTGAATCCAAACTTGGTGTTATCCAGATAAATGAAAATTCAGAAAGTGTAGAGAGAGCCCTTAGGCTTTTTTTTATTCCCTCCTTCTATTATTACATGTAAAGAGGCTTCTGATAAAGGGTAATTCCAAAACTGTGAATTAAATAAATCATAGCTTACAGTACTAATGCTTTTTAGGTGGTTTCTTAGGGATCCATGCTAGCATGGATCTAAGAGATTTTTTCTATTCTGATCTCATTTTACTAAGATAAAATAAAGCTGTTCCAGAAAGGTTAAAGTTACCCAAGTAGGATGTTAAAAAAAAAATGGAAACTGCATATATGAATGGAAGAAGCCAGCTTTGAGTAAATTTCTTTTAAATTAACCCTAATGAAGGTCCACCCTACTTCAGTCTCCAAGATCTTTGATGTTTTAAAGGCAGGCCAGAGCTAGTGTTATCAGATGACAGTATTGTCAGTGTTCTGTTTATTATTGTGTTGAAGTTTGTGGGGTTTGCTTGGTCTTTCATATTTAAAAGGGCTTTGCTGAAATAGGTATTTTTTATGCAATGTTCATGTGTACACACATGCAGCATACCTGAAGCCCAAAAGGTGTGCCTAAAATTTGGAGGGAAAACAAGAGGGGTGGATGTCAAGTATAAGATTAGTTCCCAACCACACAGCCACTTCAAGAAACGGGAGTCATAATAGTGAAATAGCCTGAATAACAGATATTCCCTAAATGAACAATTTAGCTAATGGGGTATCCTTGCAGTGATTCATGGTGATGCCTATCTTATTTAACTTTTGTAAATGATCTTAGAGAGGAATTGTGTAGTGAAATATCTCAGATTTGCAGATAATATTCTTCCTGAGTGAAATGTCAAGCTGTTAACCAGAAATATCTTAAGAGATTTTGCATATTAGTAAAGTGTTAGATGAGCTTTATTGTGGCAAGTATTACATAAATAATTTAGAGTATGTTAATGCAAGTACCACCCACAAATTGATAGGTTTTAAGCTACAAGTTAGACCCATGAGGTAATTTTAGAAGATTTCCTAAAGAGATATTTTTAATGTGTCAGTAGAAAAAAAAAGGACACAATATTCCTAAAGCATTCAAAACAAAACAGAAAAATGTTTTTCTGCCTTTGTATAAAACCTTGGAACACTTTGTGCAGTTGTCATTACTTCGCCTTAAGAAAGAAAAAAATTGTGTCTAGAAAAAACCAATTAAAATGATTTGAAGGCATTGAGGAAAGATTGATAAGATTAAGGTTACAGTCTAGAAAGGCACAGGAAGAATAATCAGTTTATTTGCTTAACGATGAGCACCTCATATGTGTAAGGGATTCTACTAAGAGCTGAGATGAATATAACATTGGATGACATGTTCTCTCTCCACAGAGCCTAAGTAGAGAAATTGGAATGTAGAAATTAGTAGTACAAAGTAGAATGATAAGTGTGTAAGACGTTTAGACTTGTGCTATGACAGTTAAGCATGAAGGAAGACAAGCTTCCACTCACGGTAATCAGGAATGGTTCTATGAAAGAGGATCTGTTTGATGTAGGTCTTGAAAGATAAATTTAAGTGAAACAGTGGTGTCGGGCCGAGGGTTTGGTCAAGCAGGGTACAGGCAATAACATTAGAAGAGGTATGGAGACAGTAAACTGTGACAAAAGGGCATGTTAAATTTGGCAGGCATGAACATGATAAAACAGGAAATGATAAATGTTGGAGAAGATGTGGGAAAATTGGAGCATTGTTGGTGGAGTTGTGAAATGATCCAACCATTTTGGAGAGCAATTTGGAATTATGTCCAAAGGGCTATAAAAATGTGTATACCCTTTGACCCAGCAATAGCACTTCTAGGGCTATATCCCGGAGAGATCATACAAATGGGAAAACGGCTCACGTGTACAAAAATATTTATAGCAGCTCTTTTTGTGGTGGCAAAGAATTGGAAATTGAGAGGATGCCCATCAAATGGGGAATGGCTGAACAAGTTGTGGTATATGAATGTAATGCAACACTATTGTGCTATAAGAAGTGATGAACAAGGCTGACTTCAGAAAAACCTGGAAAGACTTGTATGGTCTGATGCTAAGTGAAGTGAGCAGAACCAGGATCACATTGTATGCAATAATAGCCACATTGTGAGATAACTAATTTAAATTTTTTTTTAATTTAAAAAAAATTAATTATTTTGAATTATCAACAATCACTTCCATAAGCTTTTGAGTTTTAAATTTTTCTCCTCCTCATTCCCCACCTCTCTCCCCAAGATGGCACACAGTCTGATATAGGCTATACATATATATATCTATTAAACATATTTTCACATTAGTGATGTTGTAGGTAAGAATTAGAACCAATAGGAGGAACCACCAGAAAGAGGAAACAAAACACAACAGGAAAAAAATAGCAAATAGTATGCTTTGATCTACATTCAAACTCCATATTTCTTCTTTGTGGATAGCATTTTCTATCATGAGGCCTTTGGAGATGTCTTAGATCTTTGTATTGCTGAGAAGGGGTAAGTCTGTCAGTATTAGTCATCACACAATGTGGCTGTTACTGTGTACAATGTTCTACTGGTTCTGCTCACTTCACTCAGTATCAGACCATACAAGTCTTCCCAGGTTTTTCTAAAGTCATCCTGTTCATCATTTCTTATAGTACAGTAGTATTCCATTACATTCATATACCCCACCTTGTTCAGCCATTCCCCAATTGATGGGCATCCTCACAATTTCCAATTCTTTGCCACCACAAAAAGAGCTGCTATAAATATTTTTGTACATGTGGGTCCTTTTCCCATTTGTATGATCTCTCTGGGATACAGCCCTGGAAGTGCTATTGCTGGGTCAAAAGGTATGCACATTTTTATAGCTCTTTGGGCATAATTCCAAATTGCTCTCCAAAATGGTTGGATCATTTCACAACTCCACCAACAATGCATTAGTGTTCCCAATTTTCCCGTATCTTCTCCAACATTTATCATTTTCTTGTTTTGTCATGTTGGCCAATCTGGTAGGTGTGATGTGGTACCTCAGAGTGTTTTGATTTGCGTTTCTCTAATCAATAGTGATTTAGAACATTTTTTTGTTTGACCATAAGATGGTTTTAATTTCTTCGTCTAAGAATTGCCTATTCATATCCTTTGGCCATTTATCAGTTGGGGAAATGACTTGTATTATAAATTTGACTTAATTCTTTATATATTTTAGAGATGAGTCCGTTATCAGAGAGACTGGTTGTAAAAATTCCCAATTTTCTACCTTCTTTCTAATCTTGGTTGTATTGACTTTGTTTTTGCAAAAATTTTTCAATTTAATGTAATCAAAGTTATCCATTTTGCTTTTTGTAATGTTTCCTCTTTCCTGTTTGGTCATGAATTCTTCTGTTCTCCATAAATCTGATAGCGGGTAGTTTACCTTACAGTATCAGCCTTTATATATCTAAATCATGAACCCATTTTGACTTTATTTTGGTATATGGTGTGAGATTTTGATCTATGCCTAGTTTTTGCCATACTCTTTTCCAGTTTTCCCAGCAGTTTTTGTCAAAGAGTGAGTTCTTATCCCAGAAGCTGGGTCATTGGGTTTATCTAATAATAGATTATTACAGTCATTGACCTACTGTGTCTTGCCTACTTAATCTGTTCCACTGATCCACAACTCTATTTCTTAACCAGTACCAAGCAGTTTTGATGATTGCTGCTCTGTGACACAATTTAAGGTCTGGAATGACTAGGCCACCTTCCCCAGAATTTCTTTTCATTAGTTCCCTTGATATTCTGGACCTTTTGTTATTCCAATTGATGTGATGACTAATATTGATAGACTTAACCCTCCTCAGCAATACAAAGATCTAAGACATCTCCAAAGGCCTCATGATTGAAAATGCTATCCACAAAGAAGAAAGAACTATGGAGTTTGAATGCAGATTGAAGCATACTATTTGTTATTTTTTTTTCTTCTGTTGTATTTTGTTTCCTCTTTCTAGTGGTTCCTCCTATTGGTTCTAATTCTTACTTACAACACCAGTAATGTGAAAATATGTTTAATAGGAATGTATATGTATAGCCTGTATCAGATTGCACTCTGTCTTGGGGAGGGAGGTGGAGAGGGAAGGGAAGAAAAATTTAAAACTCAAAAGCTTATGGAAGTGATTATTGATAGTTCAAAATAAATTAATAAAAAAAAATTTGGCAGGCTTGACAGGTGCATGAAGGGAGTAGTGTGAGATAAGATTAGGGGTGAGTAGACTAAAGAACCTTGACTATAAATCAGGCTGAGGAGTGAATTTACTTAGTAGGCAGTAATGAGCTATTGAAGGTCATGATCAGGACAGATAAGGTAAAATTGAACTTGTTCACTAAATTTTGGAATAGTACTATTAGGAATTGTTCTTGGAAGTTAGTAAGAGAGAGCTTTAAGACAAATTAAAGTCCTGCTTTACACATGAGCTGAACTTATGATACTTATTGTTAGAGTTGGTAAGTCTTAAATTATAAGGCCACTGAGTGGTGCAGTAGACAGAGTGCTGGATTTGGAGTTAGGAAGGCCTCACTTTGAATCTTATCTCAGATACTTGCAGCTGTATAACCCTGGTAAATCACTTAAAACTCTTAATGCCTCCGTTTCCTCATGTGTTAAATGGAGATAATTCTAGCACCTTAGATCACAGGGTTTTGTAAGGATCAAATCTAATATGCTTTGCAAACCATAAAGCACTATATGAATGCTAGGTATCACCATCATCATCATTATTTTTACAAATATGTTCATGGAAGGTTTAGAGTTATTAGGTAAATTTGTGTATGTTTGAGGGTTTGTTTCAACCCTTTGAAAATGACATAATGGAGTACATATACTTTCTTACTGCTTTTGTCAGAGATAATATACTAGATTCAGTGGACCATGAGTCTTGTCTAGTAAGGCATTTTCGTGATTTGTTAACTTTTATAATTATTACTTGTTGAATTATCAGAAATCTCTAAGGCTGTACCATGTACAGAATTTACATACAGTATCCACTTAAGTTCAGCCTTCTAAGCACACAGAAAGGATCTTAGGAGGCCAGGTAATAATTCCGGCATGGCTGTCTGCTGGTGCACTAATTCAGTAAAGCATTCTAGTTTTCAGTCTCTTGAAAGTATGTGCATATAACATTTCTCTCAAGGAACAGGCCTAAAGAAAATCATATTGCATTTATGAATCTCTTAATAATATGCACAGTAGACAATAACAGTTTGACAGCTAGTCATATTTAGAAACTTTTAAAAATAGTAAAGAATCTGGTTATTTTTTAAAAGGATAATTTTTACTTTTGCCATTTTGAATGAAAAAAAAAACTTATCCATGTAATTAATTATACATAGTCCTTTCTTAGACTTCCTGGGTTTGACCAGAGATAGATGAATTAAGTATAATGATATTATCAATAAATTCACTTTTTAAAAAACATCTTTTGTGGGTAGAGGATGTCTAATGATCTTGTGCCATACTTTTTCTTTTAAGCACCTAAAAAATCTCGTGTAAGGTTCAGTAACATTATGGAGATCCGACAACTTCCATCAAGCCATGCACTGGAAGCCAAGTTATCTCGAATGTCATATCCTGCTGTGAAAGAACAAGAGTCAATCCTGAAAACTGTAGGAAAACTTACTGCAACTCAAGTAGCAAAAATCAGCTTTTTCTTTTGCTTTGTGGTAGGTCTTCTCTTTATATTTAGTAAATCAGATTTTTTACATGTGGATAATTATTGTTAAAAAGGGTGAAAAATTTATTAGTATATTTAATAAGGATTATAAAAACTATTAAACTCTTATGTGTGGATTGCCGGTTTAAAGAGAATTAGAATTCAATAAAACTTAATGATTAACTATGCAAAACATATTTAGATGTTTATTTGGTAGAGAAGAGACACTTCAAAATCTTATAGTTTCTCCAGTTCATCATTATAAAGTGATTGTGCTGTGGATATTTGTTATGGTTGATAATAGATGTCTGTATGAGATGATTTACAGTTTTTTATTGCTTTAATAAGTATACTTGTTTTTCATGATTTTATATTGATGTAATATTAGTGTAAATTAGCTCAAATCTTATAGTAATTAGTTTAAAATGAAGATCTTGATAAGAATGTTTTTAAGCATTAGCCCATGGCCTGCATATTTCAAGCATTATTATGGATAACAGAATCCCAGTAAAACAAAAGAATTTGGACAACATCCTAAAGCTTATTATAATATTCATGAATGAAAACAGAACATTTTCTCTTAAGGAAGTAGTTGAAAGCTTGATTATGTGATCTGTATGCACATCTTATGACTGATTTTTTATCTGTGAAGTAGCATTAATGCTACTTAATATTAAATTAATGCTGACTAGTAGGTCTCTTTATAGAAAATCAGGGAATTTTATTGACATTCTCATATAAATCATTAATGATTCTCACATTAATCATATTAATCATAAAATTTCACTAATTTCTACTAATTGTGCACAAAGCTTATGAGTAATGAGAAATCTGGATTGTAATTTTAGTGAAGCTTTATAATTTTTAATTCAGCATACATTAAATTCCTATTGTGTGTAAAGCTAGGTATCCAGAGACAAAAAGAAAACACCCTTCCTTCAAAGAGCTGACATTCTTTAGAGAGTGTGGAGTAGAGATAGAATTACTAACATATATATAAATAAGTAATTGTATGTGGCCAAACCTTTGATTTTGTTGGAGTATTGAACATCCTAGAAGGAATCTTCTTTTACCAAGCATTTTGACAACTCTTCTGCAACTTACAGGTTTAGGGAGTTACTAAGGGTGCTGAGAGGCTAAGTGATTTGCCCCAGGATCACACAGCCAGTATTTGCTAGATGTGGGATTTGAATCCAGTTATCATGGCTTTCAGACCAGCCCTCTTTCCACTCAAATTAATACAAGTTAATTTTAGGAGGAGAGAAAACAAATAACTTTATAGGTAAGAGAAGTCTTCATGGAAGAGTTGGCACTTAAATGGATCATTTAGAGGTAGAGTTGAAAGAGTATATTCTAGTTGTGAGGAACAACTTGTGTGGATGCATGTTGCAAGAGAAAATGTGTGTTGAGGTATCAAGACAGTATGAACAGAATAGAGAATGTCTGAAGGAGAGAAATTTAATTGTATGGGAGTGGTCTTTTAGTAGTGCTTTAAAAGAAGGAGATATGAATGATTTGGAATTTATGAAAAGCACCAATTTCATATTTGTTAATAGTAGCAATATTTTATAATAGTAACAGCATGTCATAATGGAGTAAGAGGAACCTTGGAATCATGAATACCAAGGTTTAAGTTTAGCTCAGTATTTTAGGCAACTGTTCAAGAATGTAAACTACAGAATCAGTCAGCAAGCATTTATGGAGCACTTCCTAGGTTCTGGGCAGAAGTGGGAATACAAAGAAAGGCAAAAACAGTCTCTGTCCTCAAAGGACTAATTTTTAATGGGCTTGCTAATTTGCAATTTACGTATGAGATAGGTACAGTGTAAATGTAAGGTAATCTGAAAGGAAAGGCATTAGTAGTATGAGGGACCAGGAATGGACTGCAGAAGATGGGTCTGGTGCTCACCTTTGAAGGAGGCCAGAAGGTAGAGGTGAGGGAGGACCTTCTAGGTATGGGAGGTAGTGAAAAGGCACAGAGAGAAGAGATAAGGTGTCATGTGTGAGAAATAGTAAGAAGGCCGGTGTCGTGTTGCATGTGGAGGAAAGTAAAATGTAGGAAGATTGGAATTTAGGAAGGGACCAGATTGTGAAGGGCTTTAAATGTCAAATGGAGCGTTTTGTAGTTGATTCAGGAGGTAATAGTGAGCCATAGAAGTGAATAGAGGGTAGGGTGACATGGTCAGACCTGCACTTTAGGAAGATAACTTTGGCAGCTGAGTAGAAAATAGAGTAGAGTAGGGAAGAAAACAGAAAGGGAGAGAGACCAATCAGAAGGCAATTGTGATAGTCCAGCCATGAAGTGACTCATCACTGTACTAAGTTGTCGGCTTTGTGAATAGAGAGAAGAGTACACCTAGGAGAAATGTTGTTAAGGCAGAAATGACAAGATTTGGCAACAGATTGGATATGTGGTGTGAGGGTAGGTGATGAGTTGAAGTTAGGAGCCTGGTTGGGAGTAATAGGGAAATTCAGAAGAAGGAATGGTTTAGGAGAAATAGAGTTCAGAGAAAGTGCCAGTCTGTATTAGAAGAGAAAATACCTCACCAAGAGCTTCCTGTGTTAATGAAATCATTATTAGAAAATTTAGATGTATATATATATGTTTATATGTATATGTGTATATTTTATTTTATTAGTGCTTCTATGTAATTGAATGCTTCATAAATGTCAGAAAACAGTTTGATCTTATAAATGTAAACATTTCTCATTCCAGTTTTATACCTATTATTAATTGCTTCAGTTAACTTTTTTTCCTACCAGTGGTAGAACCATCAACTTTAGCTTGGTCTTTTCAGAATTAGCAAGGCTTTTACATGGAACCAGAGGAAAATTTGAGACAAATTAATATGGTCATTTTTTTTAAAAAGCCTCTGGTTAGTAGTTCTAAAGAAACATTGCGATTTCTCTTTATATTTTTTTTCAAGTCATAGTAACTTTTCTTTTAGAGAATTTTTTTTCTTAAAGCTTTCATGAAGTAAAATAATTCCATTTATATAGAGAAGTAGCATGGAGTAATAGGATATTGGAAGCAGCGGTATAGTGTGAAGAGCACTGGAATCAAAAGACCAGGGTCCAAATCCCACCTCTGGGGTTTAATTACTTTCCTGACCTTAAACAAATCATTTAATCTCCCTGGGCTTCAGTTTCTTTATCTGTAAAACGAAGGGAGTTAGAATAGATGGCCTCTGAGGTCCTTTCCAGCTTTAGACCTATGCGTGATCCTATACTGCTGTTAGGATGATGTGCTGAACTTGAAGTTAGGAAGACCTGGGTCCAAGTCAAGATTCTGAGACTTAGTTGGGGCAGCTAGGTGTTGCAGTGGATAGAGCTCTGGCCTTGGAGTCAGGAGGACCTGAGTTCAAATCCAGCTTCAGACACTTGATACTTTACTAGCTCTGTGACCCTGGGCAAGCCACTTAACCCCAATTGCCTCACCAGAAAAAAAAAAGATTCTGAGGCTTAGTTGCTACATTACCTTGGGTAAATCACTTAACATTTTGGAACCTCAGACAACTGCTAAAGATTTATTTGCTAAGTCCTAGGTTGTAATCTCAGCTGGTGGAGTTTCAAAATTAGGAATTCCTCTATGCTGAGAAAAGTCTTAGATCCTTCATGTAACATGTTTTCAAGAGGTACAAAATAAAACTTCATTTATAGCTCTGTGATGTATTAGGTGATTTTTCTGGATCACAAGCTAATAGGAGTTGGAGTTGGCATTCAAGCTCAGATCTTCTGACTTTGTGCTTCATGAGCCATTGGTTTATTTAGCTTTACCAAAACACATTCCCTGATAGATACAGTCTTTATTATGTATAATTAAATATATGTGTATATGTATGGTGTACACTGTGAATAGATGTGTGTATGTATGCATATGTGAGATATATAACACATGTATACACGTGTACTCTGTATTCACACACATAAGTTAGATTACTGGTATATCTTTTCAGTTGCTACCCTTAAGTCTTCATCAGCATTGTTCAAAAACTCAAATTGATCTATGTTTTATTGATACCATGGATTTGGATGTTGTCTCCATCTGTGCAGATCACAACACATTTATACCTACACATCCTTTATGACTCTTTATCATGCCTTCCCAGGAGTTTACTCTTGAGGTTCCACTCAATCTGCTGGAAACCTTCCTCTTTTTGTTTATATTTTTGTTCACACTGGGAGGGGCCTAGTGTACAACTCTAGCATGAATGAATTAATAAATTTATAGTAGAGAATTATCTTGACACTTTTATGGGAAGCTGTATCTTAAGTCTAGAACATAGTTTGACAGTTGGAAAGGCATAGAACTAGTAAGCAAGTCCTTTGAAAGAACTGGTAGATAGATGATGTGATTCAGATGTGATCTCTACCCTTTGTATTACCTGATATTTAAATGTTCATTCATCTTATACTAGCAGAGAACAGTGAAATTGCTGAGAAGGGAAACCATATTTTTTTTAAAAAAAATTTTTTCCACATGCTTTTGAGTTGAAAATTTTTTCTCCCTTTTTCTCCCCCCCCACCCTCCCCAAGACGGCGCACAATCTGACATAGCCTTTACATTTACATACCCATTAAACATTTTCACATTAGTGAAGTTGTAAGTAAAAATTAAAACCAATAGGAGGAACCATCAGAAAGATGAAACAAAACTCAACTTAAGGTAAAAATAAGTGAGAGCGATTCGACTTCCATAGCTCTTTCTTTGAATGTGGACAGTATTTTCCATCCCAAGGCCTCTGGAGATGTCTTAGATCCTCATAATGCTGAGAAGGGTTCAGTTTAACATTCTTAGTCATTGCATAACATGACTGCTATTGTATACAAAGTCCTCTGGGTTCTGCTCACTTCACTCAGCATCAGACCATATAAGTCTTCCCAGGTTTTTGTGAAGTCAGCCTGTTGATAATTTCTTATAGCACAATAGTATTCCATTACATTCATATACCACAACTTGCTCAGCCATTCCCTAGTTAATGGGCATCCTCTCAATTTCCAATTCTTTGCCACCACAAAAAGAGCTGCTATGAATATTTTTGTACATGTGGGTCCTTTTCCCATTTGTTTGATCTCTTTGGGATATAGCCCTAGAAGTGCTATTGCTGGATCAAAGGGTATGCACATTTTTGTAGCCCTTTGGGCATAGTTCCAAATTGGGGAAACCATATTTTTGACTAAGAAAATTAATGTTTTTTATACTAGTAGTAAAGGAGATGGTTAAGGAAGTTGCGGTTACTGTGATCATCTGTGTTGTTTCCTCCTTGCTGTAAACCTGCAGTGGAATACTTAGAGAAAATCTTCCTTCTTCTTTTTCAGTGTGCTAGCTTGTTGTCATTAGTATAACAGAGGTAGTAAATAATGTTCAAGAGGGAGGGATAATTTATGGCAGAGAAAGCAAGTGATGAATGAAGAGAAAAGTATTGAAAGCTTATCAAGGGAATGATGCGGAGAGAATGCCAACTTAGATCTGGGTGAGTGTCAACAGAATAGTGGCCCTTACAATCTCTGGATCATTGCCAATGTAATTTAATCCTAGAATGTGTTACATAGAGTTGATTTGTAACTGTAGTAAATGATTTTGATCTTTTCACCAAAAGCTCTGGTCTTCATTTCATTACAGTTTTAATATGGGATAATTTCATTCAAATATTTCTGCCTCAGACTTAGCTTATTTTGAATAATGCTTTTGTATAGGGGAAATAACAACAAACAAAATAGGGAAAATAGGACCAAATATAAATCTGAATGTTTTTAGAGAATTTCATGTGACATTAAGAAGATACTTTGCCTTTTCAGGAGAAACTAATTATTGTAAGATGTAGGTCAGCAGACATTTTTTAGGCACTTACTGTGTGCAAGGCAATAATGTAGGAACATGGAGGAGACAAAGATGAATAAGACACAGCCCCTTTCTCCTTGAATTTAGGTTTGGTAGGAGAGATAAGACATGTTCACAAATAAATATAATACAAAGTAGAATGTGATAAATGTGTATGCGAAGCACAAGTTCATTAATTCCATGACAGTATGATTTATGTTGCTGACTTTCTTTGATACTGATTATCTCACTACCTCGCTTACTTATTTCGATGGATGAAAAAAACTAGGAAGGAGGAGAACTTTAGATGGAGTCAGGATAACTGTCATAGCCTTATTCCAGCTCTTACTGGCTTGAGACAGAAGGGAGACCATGAGCCCCTAGTCATACATAGGCTTTCAGGGGTGATGACTAGTGTGATACAGTGACTGCCAGTTCTTTGAAGGTTAAGTTGGCTAAGATTTATTTTGCTGGCTTAATTCTAGTATCTGAAAAGACAAAGTGCATCTTTAAAGAGATGCAGGTGACTCTGATGAAGAAATATATTGATCTCTGCTAGTTGAAAAACTCTTAAATGGTAGTAGTATTAGACTTATTTTTTATTGACTTAAATGATTTAGTATTCTATTATAGTTTTTTAAAATAGGTAACAGAAAAATAAATTATATTTCTTATCTAAGTTAAGATAAGAACAGGTGTTGAAATATGTTAGTTAAATAGAAAGAAAGGAATAGGAAAAGAGTGGATTCTTCATAGTTAAACTTATATCATCCCATTATAATGAAGACTTGTACAACTATTTCTACAAATTAAGAGGAAGTATAAAGTTACAGTTACCTGGTTTAATCTAAAAATTGTTTCTTAAGGGTTTTTTTTTAAATAGCAGAATTATATGGCCTTACACATTCTTTCATTCTGTGAACATAATTTTACCTAGAACTTGTGAAATTTGTCAATTTGTAAAAAAATTTAAATGTTCTCTTACTCTTAAATCCTTTGAATGTAAAAATATTTGTCACTATTGATTCTGCAAATTATTTGGCCCTTATTAAAAAGAAATAGCTGGCCTCAGAGCCAGCTGGCTTTAAGTCCTACCTCTGGCACATATTGGTTGTGTGAATCTGTGCAGGTCGCTTAACCTATCAGTGTCCTAGGTGACTCTTTAAAACTGAGTCACAGAGAAAATGCCAACTTGCAGTAGTAGAGAGTAAGTTTCCTTATCTGGGAGTTCTCTATGTTAATGACATCACAGGCCCAACCCCTATTCTTATCTCTAAAAACAAATACAGTTTTTTCCTACTTCCAGTTGCTAAATTGGTTTATTTTTTCTTAACTCTGTACATAGCTAGAATTAGTTATTTGGGTGATGTTGATAGTGGAAGTCTTAGTCTAAACTAAGTTTTTTAAAAGCTACTTGTTCATTATAGAACAGCTTCTAAAGCTGAGGTAATGAATAATATTTAGAGGAGAATGATGTAAAGAAATATAATTGTAATTTTAATTGTGAATGTATGTTATTCACACTTTTTCTGCTCTCCAGTGGTTTTTGGCAAATTTATCATATCAGGAAGCGCTTTCAGACACGCAAGTTGCTATAGTGAACATCTTGTCTTCAACTTCCGGTAAGATATTTATTGTATAATGCAATTTGTAAATTACCTAATAAGATTTATTTTGAAACTTCTGTCATTTTACTTCAGTAAATTAAGAAACATTTGTGTAGATATGCCTAAAGAGTTATGACATTTCTCTTTTATATAAAATTATAACATTATTTCGTTTTTAAAGGTAATACTTAGGCTTTCTGAATCTTGATAAATTTGTGTGCCTTTATAGATCTTTGCAAACGTATTACATTTCATAATAAAATTATCCTGCTACATGTTACATTTTTATTGTATATGGAATTGTATAGTATGTAAAAATAGCGTAAGGAAAATTTCATTAACTATGTTGGCTAATAGTTTATTTTTTTACTATAGCAGCCAGATAAACAGAAATGCAAAACATATCAAGCAGAAAGGATAAATAATGTCCTTTAGTATTAAGTGGCCCTTAAATCAACAATTATTAAGCTCCTTCTATTTCTTGGCAGTATGCTAGACACTGGGGATTAAAAAGACAAATGTGTAATAGCTTACATTCTATTGGGAGGAAGGAAGGAAAGGTGTAGCAGAGGAGTCTACACAGAATAACATATAGAATAGATGCAATGTAGATATAGAGTAACTTCCAGACGAAAGGGGAGTGTGGACATTTCTGAAATGGGAGAGGATCTGGATAGGCTTTCTGTAGAAGGTGGGATTTGATCCTTAAAGGAAGCAAGAAGTTGGTTTTTTTCTTTTTTTAGGTGTAGGTAAGGAAGGAGTTGCCTTATAGGTATGGAAGACAGCCTGTGTAAAGTTACTGAGTTGGGGGTTGGAATATCATGGAAGGGCAACCACAAATAAGTAATATTGGGGTTGGAATCTAGGTTGTGTGAAGAAGAGGAATATGCAGTAAGCCTGGAGAAGCAGGCAGGAGCCAGACTATGAGAGACTTTGAATGTTGAGTGTGGTGTGGTATGTTTGAAAGAGACACATCCTCAGGGCAGGGAAGACCTGGGTTCAGTTCCACCCTCTTGACAGGCTATGTGATCTTGGACCAATCACTTAACCTGTCAATGCGCTGGGCAGCTCTTCAAGATTATAGGTTTCAGAGAAGGTGCTGATCTATGTTGGTAGAGAGAATTTCCTCATTTAGGAGTTGTCTGTGCTAATAAATTCCTTAGTCTAATCATTGACATCTGTCTCCTATCCTTAAAAATCAAATAGAGACATTTGTCTTTTAATCTAAATGCAAGAGGGAATTACAAAAGCTTTTTGAGTAGTGAAGGAGCGTGGTTAGACCTGTTTTGTGGCATAGAAGGATACAAATAGTGTTAATTATTAACCAAAAGGTTGTTGCTATCTTAATGTATAATACTTGTGCAACAGTCAGGGAGTTAACACATTTGAAAACAACAACAAAGAAGAAAAGTGAGAAGACAAACTCATACTTGCTTTCTCATGTCTATGAAATACTTGAAAATGGCATATGCACACATTGAGGATGTCTTCATTCTAAATACACAAAAAGAACAAGTTTTTACAGGCACCGTTCTATAGCAGATCATATGTGGACTGGACTGATTTATATTTTACCCTGTTTGTTTTGGACTGGTGCTCTAGGCAGACAGATGAGCTGGGCTCAGAAGTGGGGAGATTGGGTTACATTATTCTTAAGAAATTGCTTAGTACTTTTAATTATTCTTTGCTGTTTATTTTTTGGAAAGCCCATTTCTTTATCACCCACATTCTCTCATGATGTCATATAAATGTGAATCATGGAATACCACACTGTCTCAGATGAACCAAAATCACAGGTGACCCAAAGAATGATGGAAAGATGTGTGTCTTCTTGTCTTTAAAGGGCCATTAGATGGAAGAAGTTTTAGACAAGGTTCTATTTGTTCCTAGGGGGAAGAATTAGGGAAAATGAGAACTGTTTCAAAGAAGTATATTTAGATTTACAGAATGATGTACTTATTAATAGAACTTTATGATACTGCAGTGGGCTGCTTTGCAGCCATTGAGTTCCCATTTCATTGGCGATCTTAAAGTAGAGGCTGGATGACCACTAGTTGGGTATTTTAAAAATGAGTTTACTATTCATTTAAAGGTTGGTTTAGCTTACCTCTGAACATCCCCTCCACTCTCTGAAGTATGCTATACTTTATTTAGTAAGCTTTTGCAGTAGGTCCAGTTGATGTGAGGATCTGAGCTAGTGTGGTTGTAATAGAAGTGAAAGGTTTCAAGAGATATTAGAGGTAAAAACCAATGGGTTTTGGCAACTAATTATATAGGTTGGGAGATGATGAAAAATGAAAAGGTAAAGATGATCCATATATTTTGAGTATGGATGCCTGGGAAAAGGGTAGTTCCATTAATAGAAATAAAGACATTAGAAGGAAGGGCAGGTTTGGAGAGTAAGATGATTTCAGTTTTAGATATGTTGAATTTGAAGCATGAGCAGAATATCTAAGTGGAAATATTAAACAGGCAATTAGAAGTATGGGACTGCTTTAGGGAGAGGTTTAGGGGAGAAAGACAGATTTGAGAATTAGCCACATAGAGGTGTGACAAATGAAGCAGAGTGGAAGCTATGGCTGATCAAGGGGATGTAGAGAAAAGAGAAAGAGTGCAAAGGACAGCCAGAGTTAAGTGGTGTGGCATGATTGGTGAAGCGCTCAAATCATGCTGCAGACATTGCAATGTATGCTCCACAATTTCTCAGAGCCTGTTTCCTTATCTGTAAAGTAGGAATGATAATATTGGTTGTGTTGCTTTCCTTTCAGAGTTTTTTGTGAGGAAAATTATTTGCATACTTTCAAATGCTACACGTATAAATGTGTTATATACCCATTTTTAAGGGAGTAGTAGCAAGATGAAGATCCAGATAAGTTTAATAGTAGGAACAGTCAGGTAGGACAGGAAGTGTGGGAATGAAATACCAAGGAAGCCAGAGGAGGAATAAGTATCAAAAATGAAAAGGCTAGTTAACAGTATCCATCCCAGTATGCATTAATTTGCTGTCAGTCATACTCAAGGCACTGTTAGGTGCTGAGGATACAAAGGCAAAATGAAAAAAATGTGAAGATGTCAAGGATGAGGACTTAAAAGGCTGTTGGATTTGGTACATGTGTTCCTTTGTTGCATTTTTATAATGCAACTGTTCATAATACAGTTGTCTTATTTCCTCACATTTCCATTCTGGAGGGCTGTTTTTCCAGGCTTTGTGACTAAATATAATCACATATGTCTGAACTCTAGTCTGGCCTGTGATAACTTTTATTTTTAAAGTTGAGTCACTTTGAACTAGAAGCTAAAAAATATTTTTAATATTTTAAAAATAGCTTTGTCACACATGCATGATTATGAAGTCAGAATACTGCTTTGAATGCGTGCAGTTTATTTGCATGAGTTTTTTAAACGTATTGATCCATTCTTGAATTTTATTAAAAATTGTCATTTAGTTTAAAGGTATTTTTAATGACCAGTAGAAAATTGATTCCTGCTAACTATAGTATCATTGTCAAGATAATTTAAATATAAAATATTAACTAATTTTAAAGTTAAGCATGTTTTCTTATTCATAAAAATATTTGGCACTATGCAGCCATGACAATATTTTGATTAACTCTTTGTTTTAATCTTCCACAGGACTTTTTACTTTAATCTTAGCTGCAGTGTTTCCAAGTAACAGTGGAGATAGATTTACTCTTTCTAAACTATTAGCTGTGATTTTATGGTAAGACTATCAGATGATAAGTACTTTGTTCTGGTCAAAAAGAAATGTAGAGTTACTTTTTTCGTGGCCCTGGGATATTGGGGGTGGATTGGGATATAGGGAAAGATGGTGCAACATCGCAATAACAGGGGTGGTATCTCACATAGGTCAAAGCAAAAGAAAAATATCAGTGGAGATTTGAAGATGATGTCATGCTGCTCATGTCTGCCCTGGGTTCCTCTTAGGAAAAGTAATATGAGAAGAGAGTTAGACATTATTGGTTTTCGATTTACCACAACGTTTTTAGAGCAACTCCTCTGTGTAAAGAATGATAACAAGAGCTAAGAATACAAAGATTATAGAAAACAGTCCCATATTTCAAGGAATTTACAGTCTAATGGAAGGGTGCAGGGAGGGGAATTTATCTTAAATATAAGCAAACCTTCTACTACTCATCCAGCAACCATGGATTTCCTTTTGTATGTGTTAGTGGCCATTACTTGCTTCTTTTTTTTTTTAATCGTGTTTACTGGTATGGATACAAAAATAATCTCTACATGGAACTAAATTACTTATAATTCTAAATTTGAGTTAATATACTAAATAGAGAATTCTAGCACTAAAGGATATGTTAAAAAGTCACTTTGAAAAACACAAGTATTTGATCAGTCTGATGACCAGATGTGATTCTAGAAGATTTATGGTGATGAAATCTGTTAGCTATTTCTTAACAAAGAGGTGATGGATAAAAAGTGTAAAATAAAGGACAAAGGACACAGCCAGAGTAAGGTTTTGGATTTTTTTTTTTGGCTTGAAAATACATATTAATTATAAAGGCTTTGATTTTTTTTTTCTTTCCCCCGACAAGAGCAGAGATTGAGAGGGTAAGAAGGTATAGGGGTAAGAAAAAAAAAGAAAGAAAGAAAAGAGGGTATTCAGGCATCTTTTTTAAAAAACGCGTAGAAGAAAAAGTAAGGAAGGCCAAAAAGAAGTACAGACAAGCATGACAGCTTTGAAAACTATAAATTGAATTTACATACTTTTAAAAGAAAAATAAGCTATATATAATAGAGCTCCACAATTTCATGTATAATCCTGTTTTTTCTGTTCTACACATGAGAATACCTATTTTATTTGGTGTTAAATTCAGAATGAAAAATGAACACCAACAGAATCCTTTAAGGGAAAACACCTATTGGCTGTTTCTGTTGCTATTCTGATTTCTGATCCATGGATTGTATAATCAGACTAATTATCTTTTTGAATGATGTAATGGCTGATGAATTTTTCAGCCATAGCAACTCTCCAAGACCATCTACTAAGTGGCATAGGGATTGTGAGTTCCTGCAGTGGAGAGAAGTGACCACATCAAAGAAAGAATAAATCCTTAAAGGTTAAGAATTTCATTATTCTATTTAAATAGATGCAATTTGAAAGAGGTTAATAAGATTTAGAATTGTAAGGGAACTTAGAGATCATCTAGTTCAACCCTTTTATTTTATAGATGAGGAAAACTGAGGACCAGAAATGTTAAGTGACTGGTCTAAAGTCACACAGCAAGCAAAGGTAGGATTTGAACCCAAGTCATCCTACAGTACTGTACTACAGAAAGTTGGGAATGGAAATGCTGACCTTTGCCAAATCTTAAATTGGTTAGGTCTTTGATTTAGCCTCATTTTTCACCTATGAATATGATAGATTTGTACTTTTAACTTTTTCTATAGCAGAATGTCATTATTTTTGTTTTGCATATAAAATAGAATATTTACGGGGTTCAATAAAGAAACATTGTTACCTTTATAAATTTGAAGTTTTTTTCTTTACCCTTTAAAAATCTCTGAAATTTAATCGTGGCTAACATTTTAGTAATTCTCAATACAGTAGCCAACAAGCATTTATTAAAAGTTTGCTATGTGCCAGGCAATGTGCTAAGTGCTAGAGATGCAAAGAAAAATAAAAAGCAGCCCTTAACTTCAAGGAGATTACATTCTAATGGAGTAGACAGCATGTACGTAAGAAATTGCATGAATAATTACAGAGTGGACTGAAGCTAACCTTATGAGGAAAACATTGGAGGCTGGAGGATTGGAACTGGTCTCCTGTAGCAGGTGGCATTTGAGCTGAGCCAGGGGTTCTAAGATCTAGAGGTGAGGTAGGAGAGAAAACATTCCAGGGATTGGGGACAACCAGTGCAAAGCTGTGGAGATTGGAGATGGAATGCTTCTTGTCCCTTCCTTCCTTCAATGTCCAGCTTAAATTCATAAACAGAAATATCTCTAAAGAAGTTTGACCTGAATTTTAAAAAAGAAAGTTTTATTGAGTTTTTTTTATCCTATTGGTCATACACACACACACACACTCACTCTCTCTCTCTCTCTCTCTCTCTCTCTCTCTCTCTCTCTCACACACTCTCACTCTCTCTCTCTCCCTCTCCCTCTCCCTCTTCCTCTTTCCCTCCCTCTTTCTCCTCCCCCCCCACTCACACACTTCCCACTCTATACCTCACCCTACCCATTTCCCTGACCTGAATTTAACAAACATGTATCAGTCAGCTATGAAAGATAGTTTGATTATATAAATGCTTGTTGACTGTTTAATTCTCCAATAAACAATAACCTTTTTTTTAACTTTTAACTAATGTGAGGATTAGTAACTGTAAGTAGTTTAAAGATCTTTCACTCAAAATTTTTATTTTTACAAATAGCCCTCTTTTTCCCATAGCATTGGAGGTGTTGTGCTGGTAAACCTTTCAGGGTCTGAGAAATCAGCTGGAAAAGATACAATAGGTATGTACAAAGTCTTTGTGTATGTATAAGAAGGCTTAACTTATGTATGTAGAGATATCATTATATATCTTTTATGTATCTATATGCTAAATGATAAATAGTTGTTAAATAGTGATAGGAACTAACTTTGTGCTTTCAGTAGGTAGCAGGATCTCTCAGATGAGGAAACTTCCTCTAATAATGCTGGTTGGCACGTTTTCTACAGTTTGTAGCCTTTGAATGTTTTCTTGAGCGCTGAGAAGTTATGCGTGACCTGCTCAGGATTATGTCGCCAATATTGTGTGAGGGGATGGACTTCAACAGAGTTTTTCCTGGCACTGAGAAAAGCCCTTTATACATTATGCCACACTTTTCCCACTCTGTTTATTAATTTTCATATTTTATAGGATTATGTATATAGTGTATTATGGGTGTATGCATCTATAGTTATATACACACCTTTAATGAGTATAAGGCAGCACAGCAGAGTAGGGTGAGGGGTGGATTTGAGGTCAGTAACTTACGTTCAGATCGTGGCTATCCTGCTGACTTTCTGTGTTACTGTGGGCAAGTCACTTAACATCTTTGGACTTCAGTTTCCTCATCTATTCTTTTAGCCCCCAAATTATATTCATATGTAAAATAGTGTGAACATAGATATCTAGGGATATTTCAGTTATTTGTCATTCAAATTCTGACTTTCACATTTACCATTTGTTTAGTTCTGAATGTCTTTATTAGTTATGGGAACTCCTTCTATGGAGGGAATGTCAAGGGACCCTGAAAAACTAAAACAAAGAAACGAATGCAATGAAATTTTTGATGTGCTAAAAATTATCACAAAGCAAATAGATAATATTTGAATTGTTTGAGATTTAAATACTTTTGATGATACATTAAAATTTCACATTCAAAAACATTCAAGAGGAGACAGTCCATTTACTAAGTATTTATTATATGTCTTCTGTATAGCTGATACTATATCCTGTCTTCAAGGAGCTTGAAATTAGTTGAGCACATGTCATTTAAATGCATTATTCAATTGGAGAACAATGTAAGACACTGAATGTATAACTTCAGTGAGTGCTAAATTATGTGGTAAAGACAACAGTAATAATTAAGGGGAGAGAAAGGTCAGTGTTAACTGGAGTAGTTGGAGAAAACTTTGCAGAGGATGTGGGATTTGAGTTGGTCCTTGACGGATGGGTAGGATTTGGACAGAGCATAAAGGAAATGTTATAAAGACCCAACACCAGGGAGATGGAAATAGCAAATATGTTTTAACGGTACTTCAAAAACATTGCTTTAAGTTATTTTTATTTTTACAGGTTCCATTTGGTCTCTTATTGGTGCCATGCTCTATGCTGTCTATATTGTTATGATTAAGAGAAAAGTAGACAGAGAAGATAAATTGGATATACCAATGTTCTTTGGTAAGACTATTAATTCATAGGACTTTTTTTTTTCTAAATGACTAAATCACTATCTTTGTGTTGTAATTGTCATTTTAATATTTTGATATTTAATTTTCTTTATAAAGGTGTCTAGGATCATGAAATTTTATCACAATAAAGGACTTTAGTTAATTAAGTAGTTTACTCCTCGCCCTTACCCCCACCTCTGTCTTGCCATTTGTACTGTACACTACATTGTAGTTAATTCTTTCCTCCCTACTTGGGAAAGACGATTATAGAATTACAGAATCTCAACTGGAAGAAAAGTACGTCAGAATCCATGTAGTCCAACTTATATTTGAGCAACAAAGGCCTCTGTAATTTATCCAAAAATTGGTTATTTAGCCTTTACTTGAAGACCTCCGGTAAGAGGGAAACTACTTCCTACCAAGGCAGCTGTTTCACTTATGGTTGCTTTTATTTGTTAGTTTTTCCTTACATAAGTCCAAATCTGCCTCTTTAGAACGTCTACCTATTTCTCATAATTTTACCGCTTAGGGCCAAACAGAGCAGCTGTAATCTCTCTTTCATGTGATAGTCCTTAAATACTTGAAAATGTGTATCATGTGCCCCCTTCCCACTAATTCTTCTCTTCTCTAGTTTCTTCAGCCATTCATCATATGATGTGATCTCTAGATGCTTCTTGGTTGCTTTGCTCTGGATTTTCTCCAGCTTATTAGTGTCAGTCATGAAGCACCTAGAACTGAATACAGTGTTCCAAATGTGGTCTCACTAGGAGTGTGTATAGTAGGACTCTTACCACTCCTATGTCTGCCCCCCCCCCCCAATCCTGGACACTATGCCTCACAACACAGCCTGAGATTATATTAGATTTTTAAACTTTCATATCATGCTAGTGACTCATAGTATACATTTTGTACAGAAGTTGATTCTTTTAAACTGTAGTACAAGACTTTACATTTCTCCAAGGTTGTAGCCTCTTGAGATTTTGGGGGGTTATATTTTGACATTTAATTAGTGTTAATGATACTTCCTGCTTTTGTGTTATCTGCTAATTTGATAAACCTGCCATTATTTAAGTTATTGATAAAATTGTTCAATGATACAAGCCTAGCACAGACCTCAGGAACAGTACACTAGAGAACTGCCTTCCAAGTTGGCATGAAATGCTTGTTGACTGTTCTTTGAGTCTGTCTATTCAGATAATTCTGAATTCACCTAATTATAATGCCATCTGGTTCTCATCTGTGTGTCTTCTCTCTAAGAATATCAAGAGAAATTTTGTCAGAAGCCTTGGATAAACTCTCTATATGGTATTCCTCTGCTCTAGCACCCTTGTCAAAAAAGGAAATTAGCTTAATCTTCCACTACCTGTTATTAAATTTGATTGATAATATATATCAATATATATTCTTACATTGTAATTTACATTAAATTTTGCATTTTTTTACATTGACTAAATTTCCCCATATATCTCTTCCTTTTTCCCACCCAGAGAGCTATCCATATATAACAGAATATTTTTTAAAGAAAAAAAGAGGGAGAGAAAAAATAATCAGTGAAATTGATCAATATATCAACCAAATTTGAAAATATATGTAGTGTTCCACACTTTTATATCTTCCACTTCTGCAAAGAAGTGGGAGGAAGTGTTTTCTTACATTTGGAGCCCTGTGTATTTTTGAAAAGACTAGCAAAATTAATAAACCTTTAGCCAACTTCATAAAAAAGAAGGCAGAAAATCAGATCAACAGAATAGCAGATGAATAACATGAAGTCCCAGAAAAGTCAGAAGAAATAAAAAGAATTATCAGAACCTGCTATGGACAGTTACATACTAATTGAACTGAGAGCACAAAAGAATTTTGTGGATTACCTTAAAAATATTAAATACCCAAACTAATAGAAAACTAAATAGAAATTTTAAATAATTCAGTCCTAGAAAATGAAGTAGCACTGGCTCTAAAGAAATTACAGACTTAAAAATAATAACAAACTCCTGGTCCTGATAAATTTATGGAGGAATTCTGTCAAACTTTAAAAGAACAATTAATGTCAATGCTGCATAAATTATTTTCAGATATTGAGAAAACACTTTTCCATACTCCTTTTTTAATAAGACAAGTATACTAAAATACCTGCACCAGGGAAGGATAAAATAAAAGAGAAATATCAGCCAGTATTATTAGTGAATGTTGATTAAAAATTTTTAAGTCTGTCAAATAGGTTTCAGCAGTTATTTAAGAAATCTTTCATTATGACCAGGTTGCATTTATACCAGGATGTTTCAGCGTTAGGAAAACAACATAATCATATTTAAAACAAATATCCAAAACCACATGATTATCTCAAAAGATGCAGAAAAAGCCTCCGACACAGTATGACAGTAATTTATTCTTGAAAGCCCTACAAATTTTTTTAATATTAAAAAAAAAACCTAAAACTAAATGCATTAGGAGATTTCTCAGTAAATAGAGGAAGAAATCAAGAGGTGTTTTTTCTTCCTGCTATTATTTGACTTAATTCTAGAAATGCTGGCAGTAACAGTAAGACAGAATGGTAATAATGACTAATAATAGTAATCAACAGCATTTATATAATGCTTTAAAGTTTACAAAAGATGCTGTTATCTCCATTTTACAGTTGAGGAAACTGAGTCAGAGGTTAAGTGACTTGCCCAGGTTGATAAAGCTGAAGTCAGATTCAAACTCAGATATTCCTGACTCCTCATCAGAAATAGCCATCTACATTATATGAAATAGGTAAATAAACCGAAGGTGCAAACATAGGCATAGAGGAGATAAAATTCTTCCTATTTGCTGATGATTTGATTATTTACTTAGAAAACCTTGGCAAATACTTGCTTTGGCAGCACATATACTAAAATTGAAACAGTAGAGAAGATCAGCATGGCCCCTGCGCAAGGATGACACGCAAATTCGTGAAGTGTTCCATACTTTTAATTAAAGGTATTAGAATAGGAAAACAAGAAACAGAGCTATCACTCTTTGGAGATAATATGATATCCTTAGAGAACGCTAGAAAATCAAGTAAAAACCTACTTGATCGTGAGCCAGGTGGTGCAGTGGATAGAGCACTGGTCCTGGAGTCAGGAGGACCTGAGTTCAAATTTGGCATCAAGCACATAGCACTCACAACTGTGTGACTCTGGGCACGTCCCTTAACACTAATTGTCTCACCAAAAATGAAAACAAAAACCTACTTGAAATAATAAACAACTTTAGCAAAATTGCAGGATGTAAAATAAACCCATATAAATCATTGGCATTTCTATATATTACTAACAAAGTCCAACAGCAAGAGATAGAAAGAGAAATTCCATTTAAAGTTATTATAGACATTATAAAATATTTGAGAGTGTACCTGCCAAAACACATTCAGAAACCACGTGAACACAATTGCAAAACGCTTTTCACACAAATAAATTCAGATCTAAATAATTGGAAAAACATCAGTTGCTCATGGGTAGGCCGAGCTAATATAATAAAAATGACAATCCTACCTAAGCTAATTTACTTATTCAGTGCCATACAAAACTACCAAAAAATTATTTTATAGAGTTAGAAAAAATAATAACAAGATTCATTTGGAAGAGCAAAAGGTCCAGAATATCAAGGGAACTAATGAAAAGAAATGCAGGGGAAGGTGGCCTAGCATAAAGCAGCAATCATCAAAACTACTTGGTACTGACTAAGAAACAGAGTGGTGGATCAGTGGAATAGATTAGGTTCACAAGATATAGTAGTCAGTGACTATAGTAATTTGCCTTTTGATAAACCCAAAGACTCCAGCTTCTGAGATAAGAACTCACTATTTGACAAAAACTGCTGGGAAAACTGGAAAAGAGTATGGCAGAAACTAGGCATAGACCAAATCTTACACCACGTGCCAAAATAAATTCAAAATGGGTATACGATTTAGATATAAAGGCTGATACTGTAAGCAAACTGGGAGAGCCTGGAATAGTTTACCTGCCAGATTTATAGAGAATGGAAGAATTTATGACCAAACAAGAGATAGAGAACATTGTGAAATGCAAAATGGATCATTTTGATTCCATTAAATTGAAAAGTTTTTGCACAAACAAAGCCAATGTAATCAAGATTAAAAAGGAAGCAGAAAGCTGGGAAACAATTTTTATAACCAGTGTCTCTGATAAAGGCCTCATTTCTTTTTTTTTTCTTTTTTCTGGGGTATTGGTTTTTTTTTTCTTTTTTGGAAATTGGGTTAAGTGACTTGCCCAGGGTCACACAGCTAGTAAGTATCAAGTGTTTGGTTCGAGGCCAGATTTGAACTCAGATACTCCTGATTTCAGGGCTGGTGCTCTATCCACTGTGCCACCTAGCTGCCCCTCATTTCTAAAATATATAGAGAGAGTCAAATTTATAAGAATACAGGTCATTTGTCAGTTGATAAATGGTGAAAGGATATGAATAGGCAGTTTTCAGATGAAGGAATAAAACTATAGTCATATGAAAAATGCTCTAAATTACTGTTGATTAGAGAAATGCAAATCAAAACAACTCTGAGGTACCTATCACACTTATCAGATTGGCTAACCTGACAAAACAGGAAAATGATAAATGCTGGAGAAGATGTCGGAAAATTCAACAGTAATGCATTGTTGGTGGAGTTGTGAACTGATCCAACCATACTGGAGAACAATTTGGAACTATACCCAAGGGACAATCAAACTGCATATACCCTTTGACCCAACAATACCACTTCTGCTCTGTATCCCAGAGATCATACAAATGGGAAAAGGACCCACATGTACAAAAATATTTATAGCATCTTTTTGTGGTGGCAAAGAATTGGAAATTGAGGGGATGCCCATCAGTTGGGGAATGGCTGAGTAAGTTGTGGTATGTGAATGTAATGGAATACTATTAATGATGAGCAGGTGGACTTCAGAAAAACCTGGAAAGATTTATATGATCTGATGCTGAATGAAGTGAGTAGAACCAGGAGAGCCTTGCATACGGTAACAGCCCCAT